GGGGTAGGAGAGAGAGGGAGGATAGAGGGGTAGAATGGAGAGGTAGAATGGAGGGGTAGGATGGAGGGGTAGGATAGAGGGGTAGGGTGGAGAGGTAGGATAGAGGGGTAGGATGGAGGGGTAGGATGGAGTGGTAACATGGAGGGGCAGAATGAAGAGATAGGATGGAGGGGTAGGATGGAGGAGCAGGATGGAGGGGTAGGATCCTAAACCAATCTAATTTGGATCTCATTATCTTTTCTCTTTTTTAAGTCCATTCCATGTCTCATTTCCGTACGTCTTCCCAGTCTTACTCTTCTCTTCATGTTTATTCCTAATCTGAATCCCATTTTCATTTTCATTCCCAATCTCATTCTTATTCTGCTCAACTCCACTGCAGCTCTAATGAACTCCTACTTGTGTCTGACACCTTGACTTCCCAACAGAGTAAACAGTTCTCTGTCCAATGAGTGGCTGAGGTTGAGGTCACGTTAATGACAGTGTGAACTAATGAATGAATTTCACAGCGGTTTGGGAATTAGATCAGACTGAGTTACTGCAGTTCCAACGTGTTTCAACAGATTCAGATTACTATTTTTTGTCAGATTTGTTAGACTAAGACTGGGTTTGTTGATTCCTGTCTTATTTTGAAGGTCCGTCTCAGCCACGTTACTGCGTGACTTCCTCCTGGTCCTGGAACATCATTAGTTCGACCACTTTACGTAGAGTTCCAGCGTTAGTCACAGTCGCTCTGTAGCAGTAAAACATTCCGGTGCATAACTTTAACTGCCCGTAAGAACTAATGTCCTGCAGCCTGTGTAACAGTACAACTGACAAACTGAAAATCTGACCGTCGGACGTTCTAATGTGAACATCAATAACTGAGATTATAAAAAAACAATTAAAAAAATGGTGACTTTTTTTTTTTTTCCACAGTCAGATCAATGCTGGGCGGTGTTTTCATTCTTCACACAGTTTTGACCTACGCCCTCTACTGTACAAACTGCACGATCAGCAGGGAAAGCGGGTGAGTGAACGTATGGATTTGCGCCTGGGAAAGAGAATCAACGAACGGAATCCTTAATGAGACGCCGACTTCACGACCTTTACCCAGAAATCAACTCTGATTCTCTGCGCTGTTAATGACCGCGCGGTGCTGATGTGACAGAACTCTTTGATCTGATGTGGGCCTGTGACCCCTGACCTTCACGGCGTGACATGACACCACCAACACCAGAACACCGCTGCCTCCTGCTGGCATTAGAGCAGGAAGAAGAGGGAGTCTACGGGAAGACTACAGGGAGTGGGCGAGGCAGAGGGAGGGAGAGAGAGAGAGAGAGAGCTGTGAAACAGAGTGATGAAAAGGGAGGAAAGTACAGCGCGTGGAGACAGAGTGAATGAACCATGTGGTGAACTATCATTCAACCGAGCCTCCGACTGCATGGATCAAATCTTCAATGATGGCTTGCGCTGCTGTGACTCACTCTGACTATTTTTAGCGGCTGAAATAAGAGATAACACTGTTTCTGACCTGAATGTATATCTGTGAGTATTTCTATCTCTGAGGCAATCATTCGCAGGTTTTAAAAAGATTTTCTCGTACTTTTTTCATACTAACCTGTATCCCGATAGAGGATCTTGGGGTCTTGAGGTACTCCTCAGCCTTTGACACGAGGATGGCCTTGTCGCAGGTTAGCACCGAGCTGTGGCTGTCTGTGGAGGGGTGCCTCTTCCCAGCCATGACCCCCGCCGCCTCCATGGCTATGGTAACAGCTTTGGTGCTGTCCAGGCTGTCGGTGGAGTTGTACAGGGCGCGGCCCGGGGCGAGGCCCATGCTGAGGCCGTCTGAAGACCACATCCCTCCGTGGGGAAGCCTCGCCTCGTGGTAGGCATCCTGCGTGGATTCAGTGCTGCTCTGGGCTGTGATGGAGATGAGGGGCTTGGAGGTGATGCGTGGTGGGACTGGAGGCGGGGGATTCTTGTAGTTGGGAGTGTAGGTGATGGCTGGAAGGAAGGGGGGGGGGTGAAAAATATATATATTAAAAAAAAATGACATATAACTTTGATTCAAACTCCAACTCCAGAAAAAAATGCTACTGTTTTAAAAAATGGGGTTAGAGTTTAATGTGTCATAAGGGATGTGAAACTAAGATCATCAGGTGTACCATGGGAAAATATCCAATTTTACTAAACTGGTCTGGAAGAAAAATGGCGCAAATAATGTATCCTTGTTTTTCTATGCTGCCTCTAGGTGGCAGTAGATAGCTAAAAAAACAAAGAAAATAAATAAATAAAGAGAAAGTCAAAGCTGTTTTTCTATCTTTCTTCAATTCCTGTGAGTACGTCAGTGCTGTGTTCAACTAAACAGGCCTACATTTCACACTAAGTAAAAAATACTGCGAGAAAACCAAAACTACAAAAAGAACATTATATTTCATTCCATATATTTTTTGGACATTTTTGGTTTTGGTGGTGCAGTGTGGGATTTTTACAAATATAACAAAATGTGCCCACAAAAACGGGGGGCTAATCTAATCTAATCTAATAGAGTGAAGTGACTCTGCCCATTTATAATAATAATAAAAAAGGATTGGTCATCAGGTTCAGTGAGAAACATAAAGTCTCAAAACATTTTTGTTAATCTCAGCTCTGAGAGGTTGGATTATTAGATTATAGCAGAAAAATCTTTTTGTTGTTTGTCTTGTTAAAAGACAAAGAAAAACAATAAATTATTATCTGATTAAATAAAGAGCAATCCCATCAAGAATGTACTATGGTACAGTACTACAGTACAATACTATAGTAATTAGAGTTGGTTATTAACCTGCCCTGTCTTTGGGGTAATCTGTCTCACACCAGTCCAGTGGACATATCGGGATAGTCATGTGATTAAGTGGCATCAATTTCATTCTCATCTAATCTGGTGAGCAAATGTGCGAAGGGATAACGAAGATTAACCGTGACAAGGACGGAACAGTTTGGTCCAAGCTAATTTCTGGACAACTCGGTACCACAAAAGTTATGAACAGTGATATCTTTAATTGGCAAAACCCATCATTTTTGATTTTGTAGCCAAAACGACCAAGAAGGACCAAGAACTTCCTCTTGAGTTCTTATTTCATCTTAACGTGAATGTACCGTCTGACAACTGCATCGGGACAAGTACGTTCTATTCAAGGAATTTTTCTTTTCTGGTCTCTACTGAAGGACAGTCTTTTTCTTCTTGTCTGAATCAGACTCTCCTTGTTAACAGAGCTCAGGAAGGGAGCAAGAATGTTTGAATAAGGGAAGAAGTTGATGGAGTGAGAAGATCAAAGCCAGTGCGACACCAGACTCTTCAGGCACCATGAAGTAGCGCGGCAGTCAACCAGACTCTGACAACTCTCCTCATTCTGTCTAATTCCCAACAACAAGAAAAGAGATCACTGTCTTTTCAAGTGCAAATGAGATTATGAACTTAATCTGCACCGAGAGGGACGGACGACAGGGTCCTGGACTCCTTCTTCACAGACATCGACGAGTCCTGATTATCAAGTGAGACTTCGAGAGAAAACCTCATGTAGCTACACAGATCTGAAGATCCAGCCGTGTTTTGATCAAAGCTGAGCACGTGCCAGGTGCATCAGAGTCAAGACGTAAAAACAAAAAAACAAAGAAAAAAAACCCCAAACAGTTCGCTCGGAGAAACAACTGCAGGTTAACGTTTGGGTTACCGTTTTCCCCGACAAAAAGGGAAACAACGTTTGGGTTACCGTTTTCCCCGACAAAGAGAGAAAGAGTCTATTGGTTCTTGTCTCGCCAATGCTATTAAGAACATCCTAATGAGACCAGAACTGGATCTATTTCTAGCTCTAACGAGCAACATATTTCAAGCGGGGGCTACCCCACAGAACAAAGAGGGAAGAAAATGTTTTTTTTTTCTTTCAACCTTGTGAAACAATTGCCCCAAAACAACACTTCGAACCTCCAACCTGCATCAACGTACGGCCTGTCTCACAGCCACATTTCAAAGACGGGTCTGTTAAAAGCATTTTGCTGCGGGTGATTAATGACTCACTGTCCACTTACACGAACGTCTTACGTCAGTGGGAACATTTGCGAGGATGACGGTTAGTCAACAGGAATGCACAGAGGCTGCGGGGAGCTTCGCTGTGTGTGCGGTGGAGACGAGGGTAACGTAAAGGTCACGTGTCATGAAGGTAGATCAAGGGTAGAGGATATGATCCTTTAGGGGCCATGATCCAGCAGGAAGACCAAAATAGCACCATTACTAACCTAATTTTAGTCCCATTTCCTACATGGTTCACATGGGACGAAGACTCAGCATCTGGTTTCTTCTAGTCCAAAAATGGACAACGACACAGCAGTACGAGTATGGACCATCGGTTGACGTCATTAATTTGAATTAATCTCTTAAAAAAGAAATTGAAACTAAGGATAAAGATCTAGACATGAGATTTCAGATACATGAGGACCAGGACTCCAGGTGGTCAGAATAAATCTGTGTAAAGTTCTTTTTCGTCTTCAGCGGAAAAAAAAGGGGAACTTTCCGTTTTACTTTGCACCCTTAAAAATAAAAAAAAAAAAAAAAAAAAAAACCTCAGCAAAAAATATTTTTTGCCCTACAGGTTGATCGTGGTTTTTCTCTACAGCAGCCCAAAACCACAACCAGGACAATTTTTGTTTGTCTGAAGCAGAGACCGCACATGTCGGAAAATCAGTCAAATACCTTAATATCAGTTTAATGCAACTGTATGTGAAGAACTGCTGTGAAGAGCGAAGCTGCACTTCATGCTAAAAAATGCTAGCTTTGTGAAAGTAGTAAAATAATTCCCATAATCTTCCAACACTATATGTAATGAAATACTGTATAACAATCATCTAGTTTCAATTTACTCACAATTTACTTGGTGTGAAACCTGCACTTGTTTAGTTAAACACACACTGACATACTCACAGGAATTGAAGAAAGACACACAACAAGATCTTCCCCAATTGCTCTGAGACTAAGAGAAAATATCCATCTGCTGCCACCTAGTGGATGGGTTTTGGTCTGCCTATTACGGTTGCATTGACATAGGATGAATTATTAGCAGTAAACGTGGGAGCCATCTTGGATTCTGTCTGTAGTGAATGCACTTTTATCCCTCCATCTTGTTCTGTAGTTCTGCTATCAGAGCCATGTTGTAGTCCAGCTGTCGGACTTTTCTGACCATCTGTTATTCACACAGAAACAGAATGTCTGCTCCCCGGAGACGGAGACACAACAAACTCTGCCTCTTACACTACACAAAGATACGGTACAAATGACTTGAAGATACTGTAAAACTGATACTGTAAAACTGATACTGTAAATATACAGTGTAGAGCAGGTGTCTGCAACCTGTTAAACAAACAAACAAAAAAAAGTTTTCATAGATACTGAGAAAATCACACCTGATCTTTATATAAAGACTACAGAATCATTGGGTTGTTTTGCTGTTAGCAAGCAAGCTACAAAGAATCTGGTACAATTGGCTTAAATCTATAATTCTGGTCTATTTGAAGCCTGAATATATATAAATATACATATATACAAAAGGCTTGCACTGCTAATGGTTTTCAGGGGGAATTCAATATGTGTAGAATTAAGTTTTTTTTAATTACTAGTTAGCGAATAGTACAAACTGAAGTGATTTTTTTTTATTTTGTATCTCTTAAAACGATGGTGTTGTAAAAAACATGAATATAAATATAAATAAAATATTAAATATAAATATATTTCTGATAGATATTTATCATTTAAATCGTTTTTAAAAGTTATTGATTATTATTATTATTATTACGATGGTTCTTGCTGAGGGTTAAACAAAACTATGTAACAATTTTCTGAAGTGAACTTGTGAAAACACATGTTTTGCTCTTGATAAAAAACAAACAAAAAACAAAAGTCATTTTTAGTGACAAACGTCTTCCTAATTCAACATCCTGCAGCATTTAGAACTAATTCCAGTTTGCCAAACATGTCAAAAGAGTGCAACGAAATGTCTCCCCCTGTGTGGGTTTCAAGCTCCAGCAGACGGTTAAGTACAGTGAAAACAGTTAATTGATAGCGGCTGCTCGTGGGTTGCTCGGAGTATTCAGTGTGAATTAATTCCTCGCTCCTGCTTTCACACAGATTCAAAAACAAGCCGTGTGCCTGCGGGTCTGATTAACACCAGAAACAATGGTTTGTGATTCCCCTGCTGCATCTCTGTACAGGCTTCTGGATCTATCTGTACAGGCCTGGGGACCGTCGGCGTTGATTGACGCGGCGTTGAGAGTTACCTCCGCTGGATTTACCACTGTAGAGGAAATGCAGCCGTGTTTGTTTTGCAGGAGGCTTTTAAAAAGTATGCAAATCATCTGGAGCCAGTGAGGCGAGGCGGATTGAGGAAATCCATTACTGTCTGTGTCGCGGTTGTGGAAGTTGGCGAACAGAAAAAAATAGCAAAGCGGCAGATGAGTAAAGACAAGGAGGATTCAGAAGTCTACATAGATCGTGAGGAGTTCGGATGATTTGTCAGCATTTATACTCTTAAAAACACTCAAACAACAACGCTGACTTTTCTTGATCGGTCGATCTGTTGGTGATGAAACAATCCTGATTTTAACTCTTCTAGAGAAATATCATTTAGTCGACTCTGAAAGTCAACTATTTCGTTTCACCAAAATGGCCATGAAAACAACCATTCATTGTTGTCCAAGCAGCAGTGACAGGCAGCACAATTAAATACCCTTCCACTAGGTGGCAACGGATAGTTATTAAATACCCTTCCACTAGGTGGCAACAGATAGTTCTATAAACTTTAAAAAAGAGAGTTACATAGAGTTGTTAAAGAAAATGTTCGTGTGTCTCTTTCTTCAATTCCTGGGACTATATCGGTGCTGTGTTCAACTGAACAGGCCCAGGTTTCACAATAAAAAAAGTAAAGTTTGAGTAAATGATACAAAATCAATATATTTCATTGCATAAACCTTTTTTTTGACATTTTTGTTTAGGTGGTGTGCATTATGGGATTTTTGAAATATAAGATATGTGCAAAACAGTCATTCAACTCACGATGGAAAAAGTGTTCTGTAGTTTCTTAAAAATGTGCTGAGCTAGGCTAACAGTCCAACCACTCACTTACTGCCTCTTCTTTGAGTATTTCAGTGACTGTGCCTTCTTTGTTGCATTACTGCCATCTATTATTACTGTTCTCTAATTTTTGTGAAAGCAAATCTAAGGGCGTCACCTTACTTTCTCGCGACAGAAGCTAACTGTAACTAGTTAAGTGGACCGTTGACTTTTACAAACATCTATAGATTCATCCTTAGTACTTTCCTGCACACCTCTAAGTCCTCCCTGGAGGAGGATTCACAGGGAGGTGTGTACATGTCGGTGATTTCATGTAGTTCTAAAAGGGTGGTTTCTATATGATGGGATGCGATCGTAAATATGTCAAACAAGAACCGGTCGAGCACTCTCAACAAATAGAAGTCTGCCATGACACCAGCACCAACAGAGCAGAATGATTTAGAGGCTGAGTGTACCGGACAGTCTGACTGGTTCAAGAGGGAGCAACACACAGATGTATTCAAAGGACTCAAGAAGGTACTCTGCTGTAGAGTAAATGTTTCTTTGGGTCCTGAACCTGAGATTAACATAATTCAGAAGTTAAAAACGTCAGCAGTGGTATGGCTGAGTATTTCCCAGGCAGCATCTTTACCTGGGGTTTGCTGGGCAGTCCGATCAAAACTGTGGGTGGAGGGGAGGCGGAACTGGATCCCTGAAAACAGTGGGGTAGATATTCAGAGCAGGGGCAAAACTGCCCGGTAAACACACAAAGCAGTACAACATGTTTGGCATTAAAACAAAGGAAGGGTGGATCCAGAAGAAGTCATCAGTGACCAACACAGTAGAAAGAAGCGCTTTAAAGGATCTGACCACTGGTCTGAAGTCTGTCGGATGAAGTGACCTGTGTTTGGTGCGAAGACGTTGACCCACATTATCTCCCCTGGTCCCTGCCACTAACACAGTGGAACTATTGATCTGCAATTATAATAACCACATTCAATGACATGAAGGTCCGTTGCAATTCCCTGGATTGACAGTGATGAGCACGGAGTAAGAGGGTCACGTGACCTGCATTCAAAAGTAGCCGTGTGGACCAGACGTCAATAGCTGTTAGCATAGGGGTGATTGATTTTTATGACTCACACATGAGGAGAATACGCTTCAGTCCAGCTTTACCTACGGGTGTGGGGTGAGGAGTGGGGGCGCGCTTCAGTCCAGCTTTACCTACGGGTGGGGTGGGGGGTGCCGAACAAAATATACGTTACAGTTGTGTTTTTAAACCTATTTATTAAAGCTAAATACGTAGACAGGCCCTGAACTTCTCAACCTGTGCACCTCCGAGGATTCTGTGCCAGATTTGCTGAAAACGTTACTAGAAATACGAGTTTTCCATGTGACGAGTAAGAAATTATTATTATTTTATATTATCAATATATTTGTTTATATCTATATTTTGGATATTTAGATAAAGGGGGATTTTAATTGAATTAATTAATAGTATATTTCTGGGGCGCTGGAAAGAATTAGAATTGGTTTTTAGTTCTTTTTAAACGGGAAAATGAAGATGAAACTCGTATATATAAGAGTGGAATTCTATCTAATACAGTGCTATCTTGCAACCTTCATTCCGTACAGATGCATTTGGGAATCAGTACCGTTGCTCTCTCCAAATGGCATTGGATTTTCTGGATTTTTCTGTCTCTTCTCCACCAGCCGCACCTTCGCCAGATGCTCGGTAAAGTGAAAGGTAATTATGTTGATATTTGTTCAACCTTGTAATTAAGGTTTCGGCAAAGCCTCTTAAAATGAACGAGGCTAAAATAATGACACGGATGTATGGTGAAAGCGTTCCAAGCAATTATGTAAATTAAAGTCAGGCACTCTATTTGTTTTACATACCAATGAGGTCACGGGGTGGAAATAGTAAATCATGGGTTATCACAGACACAACGCTGCATGTCAAACTACCAACCAAAAAAAAAAAAAAAAACGCCTAAATATTTCAGTACTCTCTTGAGCTCAGAGTTTTTAATCATGGATAATTTCTGATGAATTTAAGCCAAAGATTTGAACTCGTGAATAAACATGACGACGCCGTGGCACAGGTAATTGGTGCTGCCTTTTTTTTGTCAGCCTTTTGTGAATGCAGAGTTCGACTGGGAGGCCAACGAAGGTGCGATTAATGTGAGTGAGTGAGTGAAATGAGCAGAAAAATAAAATCAACTAATTAACTTCTCTGCTCCTTTGGAAAACATCTATTTACTGGAATAAGGACTAACCTTTATGAAGTGCATTTTCAAATCAAAGAACACACGGAACGGTACTTTTTATTGCAGCTCAACGATTACGTTTTTTTTTTTTTTTCTTTTTCCCAGTGCACTTTATTAGAGCACAGACTTCAGTAGAAACCGTTTTTTTAGTAAAACAGAGCACAGATATATCGTGTAATTTGCTTGGCTTTTAGTTTGACTTTTGTTCGCTGCTCATAAGAGGATTTTGCATCTTCAGCGACGCTGCACGTCGGCTCCTTTCGCTGCTCGGATTACCAAGATGAAACTATGAACGGAAACCAAGTACAACAGTGAGGCACGGTGTATGAAATGCACAAAATATTAAGGGCAATTGTCATGCAACATATTTTCTCCGTCATATTCTTCTGTGTCGCAATATATATATTACATATATATATATATTAAAAAATAGCCACATGAGAATGTACAACCCATTTTGGGAAGAAATACAATTCCATCACATATTTGTGGATATTCCGTCACACGTCAAGTATTACATTCTCAACCCGTAATTCCTGAGCTTCATAATAATATGTTACAGTAGAAAATACAGTGTCACCCCCGCAACAAGGCTACAATATTGATGTGGTTTGGTTGTCATTTGTTTTTTTTCAGATTCTTTAAATATATTTTCATATATTGTATGGGTATTCTACACATGTGCCATATGCTTCTTAGTAAAGTGTTTAGGTAACATGAGGAGGTATGACTTCACCTTTTTTATATTTAGGATTGAATCTGAAAGACACAAGGTCTTTACCTAAGAGGATATATATATATATATATATTTTGTAGCTCTGTCTAAGATTGTGCAAACATCATTTCACAGCATCGTTTCCTTTTTTTTTCTTTATCACAGCGGAATCCATTCAACAGCTCACATAGTAAACAGTATGTTCATATAGTTATATAATAACTGCCAAGAGGAACTCTCCACTCTGCTCTGGAGCGACAAGAAGCACAGAACCCGAAACGACGTCCAGGAAAGTTCCCATTAGCGGTACGGCGGTCGTCTGGCTCTGGAGTTATCCACGGTCTGTGAACAGAGCTTTGGAGGAGTCTCCTAAAATAGATGTCTAATATATGCCTTTGATGTAATCCAGTGATTTAACAAGAAAAGTTATTAAAAGTTTATCCATGGATTACAAAGCTACCGCTCCGCAACAGAAACTCCAATCGTCAGCGACAACCGTTCCACAGAACGTCACCAGGCTTCGAGTTAAAGTTTCTGAAGACTCCTTCAGAGGAGCGGTCGGGTCACAGCAGTACTCAGAGTTTCTACTACCACTGCGGCACTCATTTCTTCTGGGATATAAATGCAGGTGTACATGTAGGGAAGTTTTTGTTTTCGGTGTGCACTGCACTCACAGCTACGGGTTAGGTTAAAAACATGTTTGGAGCTACATCTAAGCTGCTGAGAATGAGGTATAAATTCACAGAGTAAGAGAGACGTATGTGATTTCTGCACTGTTGTAGTCGTATCTCCTGCTCCACAGTTCCACACTCGCACTCCGACGCATGGACTCTCGTCTGTGGACCTTCTTCTGCCACCGGTCCCAGAGAAACCCCCTCTCACTTGGTGATCTTTCAGGACTGCTGGATACCACGTCTTCTCCCACGCTGTCTCCGTGCTCCTGGTGTGTGGACAGACACTCCATCGTCTCCACTACAGCAGCTTCTGGAGCCATGGCTGGCACATCGACTGAGCGAGGGACCGGTGGAGATGACTCTGTGTCTGACGAGGGAGGATCCGGGCCTGGACTGGTTGGTCCACAGTCTAATTCCAGTGATGTATCTGGAGAGACTGAACTCGGTGGGGATATCCTGACAGTGACTTGTGGAACTAGGACTCGGTGTATTTCCTGAGGTGAGCTATGGATGAAACCCTCCATGGATGGATCCAAGAATACGGATTGCGAAGGCAAAACACCATCAGATGAGGTGGGTGAACAATCGGAGGGGTACAGCGGTGCTTCTACGTTATCAGCGTTAGAGTCAAGACTGAGGTCAAACGGCTCTGGTTCTGGGTCCATGAACACTGAGTCAAGATCATCCTGATCCAAGGAAGTAAGCATGACCAAGTCAAAGTGAACCAAATCAGAGTGATAAATGGAAGGGGAACTCAGTGGTTCTGGAAGTGGAGGCCACTCTGGGTCTTGGGGTTCCGGCTCGGTGGTTGGCTGTAGTTCTTCCGAACTGAAACTCAAGTTCAAGTCTGGAGTCATTTCGTCCTGGGGATCAGGTTCAGACAGATGTTCTGGTTGGCTGATAATGATGTCTTCATTTGCGTCACTGTCATCTGCAGTTTCAGGAGGTTCATTATCCAGGTACTCTGACACCACAATAGAAGGACATGCAATAAAGGGGTCTAAGTTAGAATGTGTTACTGCGTCAAGGTCAGGTGATGGTGTATCACTGGGTGACGGAGACTCTACGCTTTCTGCTTCTGAAAAAAATATGGCTATTTCTGGTGATTTTAGCTCTGGTCCTGATGATTCAACATTATCAGGGTCTTCTAATGCAGAATCCTGGGACTCAGGGTGTGGCTTGTCCACAATGGAAGAATCCAGAGACTCTGAATCTGACATGTTTTCATTGTCTTGATCCTCAGGTGGCGACACAGTAACTACTGGGACCGGGTACGGCAGCTGCACCTTATCTTTTTTAATTGGTTCTGCATCTGAAAGAGACTCGTCAGTTGGATCTATATTTATGAGCTGCGGTGTGACTGATATTTCTTGTTCAACTTTGACTGAATCTTCGGGACTGTCTAAGACCGTTTCTGGTTGGAGTAGTTCAGTACCAGGAGTGGTGACTGGCTGGATGGCAGCTGAAGACAAAAGTTCATTTTCGGATAGTTCTGGCTTTGGTTGATGTTCATCTTTGGAGAGAACGAGATTTAAATCAAATGACTCCAGTTGGGTTGATTTACCGGCGGTTGTAACTATTGGGTCCAGTGAAAGTGGTATGGCACTCTCCACGTACATAGACTGTGGACGGGTAAGAATGCTGGGGTCCATGGAGAGCTGTTTTGGCAGACTTTTGCGGGTGCATTTCTTTTCTTCACTCTCCTCTGGACAGTTAACCGCTGCGTCTGCGGTGCTTTGCCGAATAAGACCCTTGCTCCGAGCCTGCGTCCCCACGGATACTTTGGATACTTGCATTTTCTTCTCTTTGATTCCCACTGAACTTCTGTCTACTGTAGAAGTCCCCAGTCCTCCTTTGCCTGCCCCTAATGTTGCCCCCACTGATGCCTCTACACCTTCAGCTGCTGCAGCCCCTCCCTTTGGTCCCGTCACTATCCCGGTTCCTACTGCACCAAGACCTAGTCCTGCTCCTGCAGATGTGTGGCCACCTTGTGGAGACCAGGTGTTGTAATGCTGGGTGAAAGTGTTAAAATTGCTGTTAAAAGCACGGAGCTCTTTGCAGAGGTCCCTCCTCAGTTCGGCTAGCTCTCGACGCATGGCGGAGACCTCCTCCTTCCACTGCATGCTGATAGCTGCAGCCAGAGTCGCTGACTCTTTGATACTGGCCTGGATGGCTTTGGGTGAAGGTCGTTCTGGAGCACTAGACCTGGGGGATCTGAAGAGGCTTGGAGAAAGTGGTGGTCCAGACAGAGTTTTGGCCGTAGCTCCCATGCTATCTTCCTGGTAGAGCCTGTCTCTCCTTATGGGGCAGCCTAGATCATCGTGAGCCAAAGGGGCAGTCTCTGCCAAATCCTCATGTATACTCGTCTGGTCAGGTAAACAAGTGTCTTCCTGCACATAATTTCTGTCTGGAAGACAAATGTAAATACGCATCTGTAATATGGTTGAAGGTGTGAGCAGCTGGAGAGAATGTGCTTTTAAATGCCACAAAGCATCAACACCAAAGTCATGCACTAAATGCCATGAGCCAAAATAAGAAAATTACAGAAATATGTAATACTAAATCATGTGATATATTTTTTTTCTATTTGAGTCGAATGCATTCAATATGCACAAATATTTATATTACAATTTCTGTAATTCCTTCATCAAATACAGTCTGGAGACCTTGGAGGTCGTTCCCATTTTGACTCATAAACCTAATGTTTACACTGCCTTCTCAACATAAATTTGTATCATGCATTCTCCACATCTTTTCAGTGCACAAAGCCGGATGTTGCTCTAGGAAAACCTTCACTGAGAATGTACAGTAGAACCAACACATGAGGTGTGAGGACAGTCCTCGCATGCTCTCTTGCTTTTCGTTGGATGTAAAGCCAAGTGTACTTTGTGCAACGAAAAGAGGCAGAGATGAGCAAAGCTTTGAAACGTTCTCTTGTCAATCAGGAAGTTTAGTATGAACCCTATTGAAAATGTGAGGTCCAGTTTGACCAACTGCTTTGAGAAGCAACAACTGCTGTTGAACGGTGTTCAAATGATGGCCAAACCCTACACACACTCATATTCTGCATCTTTTTATGTAACAGTGTTAGATTTTGACAGAGAAAGCAGTGTAAGCAGGCATTTTTAAGGTATGACAGAATGATGACCAGCACATCTCCAGATGTCCACACCTCTAAACCTCCCTATTGTGATACCGACTGACGTTGTTATCTACTGTGGGAAGACCGTGGGGAATCCGCTCAGACTTCTTGTCCAGAAATTGTCCTCTGTTGCTCCCACATTCTTCATCTGTACAAGGATGTATCATTTCCGCTGCGAAACCGGCAATCACGGGAATAGTCGGAACCATCATAGCATCTTACAATTATTAATCAAAGCTCAGTAACATGAGTAAATGCATGTGTCAGCTGAGTGGGGTAAGATTTATTGGAGCAGGTTTGCACATGGGATGTCTGTGACTAAGCAGTTTGACAGTTTGGGTGCTGACGTATTTTATTGCCAGCTTTACTGTGTCCATTATCCAAGTCTACAAACAGAGGCGTGCATCTTTGTAATGGGATCTCATTGTATCAGTGTGGGCTTCAACAATGACAGCAGGCGATCTTTGGGGTCAAGACATTTTGAAGAGACGAAGTTGGCCGCACAGATTACGCTAAATAAAGAACACTGTTTGCAAATGAGGTAGACATTTTGAAAGCAGTAGTTAATTAGTTGTGATCTGCAGTGAGACTGCGGGTTACATACGGACACAAATGTCACCATATGTTGACGAGTTTCGGAAAAAGATAATGGAGCAGAAAGCAGCCGTGTCCTTATCCTGACCTGATTCGTATTTTCCAGATAATTTCCATTTGTGGTTTTCAATAGGGTTCATAGCTTTACTCTCTGATGGATGAGCAAATGAAGCACTGTATCCAAAATACAGTTGGATGAACTGGTAGAGTTCCTGAGTAGATAGCTTAAGTAATCAGCCCTTAAAAACCAACAACAAAAAAAGTAATTTGAGTGAATCATGCAAAGATGTGAAGCTGTTTCGACACCAAGTCCAGTCTTTGCTGATGTTCCTCAACCCAGCCTTTGGGTGTCACCCTTATCCCTTTTGTTTTAACTGTTACCAGCATCCCAGATGTCAGATGTTGTAGTGTGCACATGAATTGTCCGACTGGCCTTACCTGTAGTCGACCTGATTGTGGAGGTGACGGTAGATGCCATAGGGGGGATGCAATCATCATCTTGGGAATAACCGGCCTGAATGGCTCGCAGGTAGCTGTGGCTCCTGGTACGAAAACATCCAGGGAGGTCCAGGGCCTCCATGGCCTGGGATTCCACCTCACTGAACACAGACTCGCACACCGACTCAAACTGGCCATTTATTTCTGTTTCACTCACCTGTAGGTAAACAGGAAGGAAGAAGTTCCTACAGTGTGGCTAACATTCCATTTAACAAAACAAGTCAAGTCAGTATATGTATATATTTAAATATATATTAATATATATCCCTAATAACCTCTGTTGTACGTAATCCCTTAACTCACATAGATAAACTTGAGCCAATGAACTACCACATTGTGGTCAGCAAAAAAACATGCAAAGGTGTTAAATAAAAACCCTTACTCCTATCGTATATATTTAAAAGAAGAGCTGCGTGGTAATATCATTTAAATGCATTTGGATTCAGATCCTCAAGGACCTGCTCCAGGACCGTCAGGAGTCTGCAGTTTCAGAAGCATATGGTAACGATGTGTATGAACGTGAGAACGTATTTTCTAATTATAACGGATGTCGACTCACCTGGCTCACTTGGCTAACACAGCTAGCCTGACTCAGGGTGCTGACAGCTCGCATATAGCTCTGGTTCCTGGAGCGAAACTTGGGTGAGTTGTAGTTAGTGGACGGATCCAGTGCAATGCTTGGGTGAATGTCCCTGGCGGCTTGCAAATGGTAGCTCTGACTGAACAAAGAGAGGAGAACAGAGGCGAGGGAAGGAGTGAGACCGCTTCGTACCTTTGGACTAGCCGTAGCTTTAGAAGCGAGCGGCGAAAGATTGAATTTAGCATAATGTGATTAAGAGCCGTGTGGTGGCGGCGGTATCATGTTTGCAAAAGCAATTAAGTGCTATTAAGCTTAGTGGATCCTCTCCAACTGAACTTGAGAGAGAGGCCCCGTGTCTCCCAGGGGGTGTGCTTGAGGAGAACAGAGGCGAGGGAAGGAGTGAGACCGCTTCGTACCTTTGGACTAGCCGTAGCTTTAGAAGCGAGCGGCGAAAGATTGAATTTAGCATAATGTGATTAAGAGCCGTGTGGTGGCGGCGGTATCATGTTTGCAAAAGCAATTAAGTGCTATTAAGCTTAGTGGATCCTCTCCAACTGAACTTGAGAGAGAGGCCCCGTGTCTCCCAGGGGGTGTGCTTTTCACCTCCCCTTTTCTCACACCCACCTCACCCCACAGTCGTTGGAGAGTTCACCAGTGTCATTTAGATTTCCGTGCCGCTGAAACATCCAATCAATGCTGGGAAATGACAGAAATGCAAATTGGGAGCTAGTTAACAAGTAAGCACTTCAAAGAGACACCCTGGTGCCACGCGGGTCAAATAAATGTGCTGCACCAGCAGCGTAGGAGAGACCCAGAGTACCACGCTGTTCAGAAATACAGTACACTGATGTGGAGTTGAGTTGAATGGCAAAGGAGGGAGGAATGAGCTTAAAGTACACTAGAGGATGCTGTGTATGAGTCACATTAGGAATTCCAAGGTATTGTGGGCACAGACGAATCTATTTGTGACTGCAGGCAGGGATGAGTAAGCATTTTCTGGGCTTTTTATAGCGACAGATGCCGGTGTTTGGCACCGAGGAACAGGCCAGTGTGATTAAAGGTCCCTTCATCTTGTCATGCTGTAGCAAGGCTGCGTGTATTTCCGATGAAAAAAACAACAACAACAAAAAAAAACCTGCCTCGCAATACTCCTAATCAAGGATTTAAAAGAAGAAAAACTTTCCCAAATGTGGTCTGTATGAACTTTATATTAATGTAGAAGCTGTTTTAACAAAGTCCTTGATCAGTGACCGTGGTAACGCTCTTCAATATATGTATATATATATATGTATATATGGGTATATGTAGGTTATGTACAGTGAAAATAGATAGATGGATGGATGGATGGATGGATGCATAGATGGATGGACGGATGGATGGATACATAGAGGGATGGATGGATGAATGGATGGATACATAGATGGATGGATGGATGGATGCATAGATGGATGGATGGATGATGGATAGATAGATGGGTGGATGGATGGATGGATGGATGATGGATAGATAGATGGGTGGATGGATGGATGGATGGATGATGGATGGATGGATGGATGATAGATAGATAGATGGATGGATGATGGATGGATGGATAGATGGATGATAGATGGATGGATACATAGATGGATGGATGAATACATAGATGGATGGATTGATACATTGATGGGTAGATGATGGATGGATGGGTGGGTGATAGATGGAGGGGTGGT